ATATAGTATATATATTATTTTTATATATATTATTTGTTACAGTTGAGTGCAGTGTTTGATATTCTTTATGTACTGTTGGTCCAGCAATACTGTATCCCCTCTTGCAATGTGACATCGCCTATTTGGGATGCAAAATGCTTCCTAATACATTGTGTGCTGTATGTAATGCAGTGACTTCTTTAATTCCTGTTGCAGATTTCTTCCCATACTGCTGCTTACCATTTTTTATGTCCTGGTATGTTTTTCATTTTTTCTCGGATCTATTTGTTTTCATTTTTTCATACTGAATATTGTTTTAACCTAGCCTGTTTGTTTCTGATGTCTGCATTCTTGTGTCTAATTTGTCTCTTCAGCATTGAATTTACTGTTAGGGATAGACAAGTCATGGCTGTTTCTTGTCCATTCATGCCTGTCCCCAGAACACTAGATTTTTATAGTACAGTCCCTGTTCTGTTCTGGGACAAAGCGGGGAGGAGTGTAGCCTTGCTCTTCTCAGAACAGCTGCTAATTCAGAGGCGGTGTGCTCCTTCAAGGAAGGGGGAGGAGAAGATGAAAAGAAGGGAAGCAAGAGAAGTCAACCCCGGGAGGGGGTGGGGGGGGCAGGAATCCAAATATTTGTTCAGAAATGGAACTTAGTTGTCTTACGTATGTCAGGAGCAGTAGCTTCTTAAAACATACTTAATCATTTGCTTGCAGTAGTATGAATGCACCCATGCTTAAAATCTCGTTTTCCATTTAAAGAAACTTGTTAGATGCAGGAAAAGAAAAAAGGAGTATACTATGTTCTGCAGCATGAAATGTGGGTGTTGTTTACAAGATATTTACAGCCCAGCACAACTCAAATGGTCCAGTAAGGTTACTGTCTTAGGATGAGGGAGATGCAGTTTAGATGCCTGTTCTGGTGACTCTCTTACTCTGTCCAAGTTCACCCTGGAAATCTTGATGCCTTTCAGTTTCTCTTCTCCAAAATAGAAATAAAAGTGCTTTCCGCAGTGGTGTTTGAGGAAAGGTGCGTTACAGAGATAAAATGCTTCTGTGCTACAGTAATGGGAACCGCAGAAGACTCCAGCCAAGTCAGCAGCATCTGTCTCAAACTGCCACTTAAGCTTTGCATGCAGATTAGTCCATGTCCTCAAGTACAGTAATTACACAGCTGACACTGTTAAAACTCTGTGTAGTATGCAGGTAAGAGCAAAGTCTTGTTTCAGGTGAGATGCAGAACATCTGAAATGCCAGAAGCGTTTGAGAGACTGTAAGGTGCTATTTGCAAGAGTAGGCATGTTTTATATTGCTGGTATGGTCAGTTTAAAATGGAGTAATTGCATGCTTTTGAAAGTCCTCTTGAAACTTCTGTGGGAATAGGATTTTTAGAAGGATCTAGTGGTGCTGGGCAGCGGTAGGCTCTGTCAAAGTATGCCTCATCTTGTTCTGTTTTCTGGATGAATGTGTGGGGCTACTCCAGAATGAGAAGCATTACTGTGTCTAATTTTGAGGGATAGCAACTACTGTCAATTGGTATGTAATTTACATGAGAACAGCTACTGCTTCAGCATCTCTGAAAATCAAGACATTAAATTACAGTCTTGCATTAAGGCATTTGTCAAAACTAGAGGAGGACAAAACTCATGTAATCTCCTCTGGCACTGCCTGGTGAAGTGAAGCTTTCTAACTTGGCAGGGTACTGGTTGAATGACCTTGCTTTCTGTTGTGGGGAGCTTGCAGTTGGTTTTGGGGGATCTTGCTTTGGTTTTGAGGTCACTGTGTTCAGGTCCTGGTGGTTCTCTTCCAAACAGAGATGTGGAGGTCCAGGGGTCACAGTTACCTCACTAGCACTAATCATTTGACTGCTTTAGCTACATTTATAGGATTTGTTTCACATTTTGGGCAACACTTCTTATTCCCCTATTATTTTTCTAGGCTTGTTGTCATGGTATCTGGTACTTCCTGTTCAGATATTAAAATTGAGTGAGTGGTGTCTGTATGTCTGGTTCATTTTCCGTCTCTTATCCTCTTCCCGAGGGAGAGTTTTACGTGGGATGTAGCATGTCGTTTGCAAGGGCTTCCTTTGGGGGATTTTTTTAATCACGTAGCGGAGTCTGTTAGAGAAGGCTGGGTGCAAAGAAGCCCCTTCCACTTGGACTGGGGTATATTAAATCCTGCATGCATAGAGCTCCCATGGGAGCTCATCATGCAACTTGTGACTCCCCCCAAAAAGGCCTGTCTCCTGCATGAATGAGCTTTTATCTGAGTCTCTCTGACATTGCCAGGATTAAGGCAATGATAGGAATTTTTTTCCCTGCAGACTTCCTATGGGGAGGGCTCAGCCTTTGCTATTTGGGGATCACAGCTCTGGTGCCTTAGGGGGAAGAGTTTGCTGAGGGATCTTGTCCCATCTGAGCAGGTTTGTGTCAGCATGTATGCCTTTACAGGTACTCTACCTAGAGCTAAGCTTCAGCCTGTGGAATACAGAGGTATTTTCCCTGAGGTTGGGTTTAGATTTATTTATTCATTATGAAACTACAAACATGTTTTTTTAGGAGGGGATCTGTTAAAAGGGTATCCCAGTGGATAAGTGGGATAAGAAGGAGGATCTTCTACTGACACTCAGACTTTGCTGATGGCTGTATTTAATCACAGATAAGTCAGGCTCCTTAATTGTAGGTGCACTGTAGCATCAAAGTGTATCTGGGGCGGGCTCTAGATTGGATTCCATTTAAATACAGCTGACTTTCCCTAATCTAGAAGGGGAATCTTCTTGAAAGAACAAGGGCACCCAAAATACAGTAATTTGACGGAAGGTTCCCAAACAAAACTTGTATGCAGTCACCTTCCTGTAAAAGGCAAAACCAAGCAATGTACTTACCATCCTTCTCTTGGTTTTGCTTTGAGAAAGACTAAGCATTTTTCCCTAAATGCTTGCAAAAGTGATAGTTACATTGTAATAGGAGAAGGATGCTTTCTTGCTATGCATGGACAACATGTATTAAATCCTAGCCTGTACAAATATAAGGAGTCTTTATTCTAAATAAGCTGTAGACTAAATGGATGCTGTGATGAACTGCACCAAGCACAGAACAAGTTACCTTCATAGTTGGATTACAGTGAATTGTGACAGTGACAGCCTTAGTTTACTTGTTTGGTCCTAGGAGCACTGTGTGCAGATGCCGCTTCCCTCCTGGTTTGCTTCTCCTGTGACTGCAGTGTGCATTGCTGGGGTGGCAGCAGGTGCTTCTCCTTGATGAAGGGATGGAGGATGAATGAGGCTGACATTACTGATATAAAAAAGCATCTGACAGGAGCAGGGTTTGAACTGGTCTCATGATCAGATCTCGTTTTCCCTTGATCTGAATCTTCTCTGCATAGCTTACCTCCTTTTTTAGGTAAATAGCTGTATTTATTGGTAACTGTCATAGAGGAAAAAAAAATGAAGCAGGCAATTCACTTGACCCTCTTTGTACATTTTGAATGTGTCTTCTCAAGGGTATTTATGTAACCTTCTCTGAAAGCCCCTACTACATACAGCTCTTCACATGAGTTGCAGTCATTCTTTGTCCTTCCAGGAATGTGTTTAAAACACTTCTGCAGTGGTTTGGAGGCTCACAGGGTTGTGCTCTGAAATGGGACTACCAGCTGGAGCAGGGCTTACCTTGAATGTCAGTAAGTCTCTTCTGTTACTGTTATATAGAAGATGGAAAGTGTGATGAATCTTTCTCTTGCCCATCTCTCTTGCTTGCTGCTTTCCTTGCCAGCCGTCCATAGGTGGTATTTATTAGGAATGTCCCCAATTATGAGAATATTTGGGGAGGGTTGAAGAGCATGTGCAGGTCTGCTTGGAAGAGTCACAGGTGGACAGCAGGTTGAGCTCAGCTGCTTTGATAGAGAACCTCACCCTTGCACCAGTTTCTTCCCTAAATGTTTGCTGAGGTTGGAACAGGCAAAAATAGGAGCCAGGAGGCTCATAGAATTAATGGCAAGCATTATTTTATCTTTTGGTCCCAAACCCAGAGTGACTGAAGGTTGTTACTGTCTGATGGCTTCTGCCTGGCTAATATGAGATGAGCTGTCGGATGTGGCCTACTTCTGAAGGAAGAGATTGTGTCAAAGAAAAGCATCGGTGCTCAGTGGTGGCTGTGTTACGGCTGCCAGCCAGGCAGCTTTAATTAGGTTTTACATTTGGGTAGGGGACAACAAAAACACAATTCAAGGCAGCTTGCATTGTTGCTGTCCCATTCTGCCCTTGTTTTCATGAGTGAGTGTTTAGGAGGGGACCATAGTCCTTTAATGTAACTTTGCATTCCAAAGTAACTTACTTTCAAGAAAAAAGGATGGTTTTAAAACTTTTTTAGCTTATCTGGACCCAGGTGAGCAACTCAAAGTTGTACTCTTCTATATGTTGCTTTTAGAATAGTTTGCAGCAATAGGAAGACTTCAAACTTGTCTGAGAAAGTAGTTTACTTTGACTTTCCTTGTGGGAATGATTGCAGTAGGAGCTGTATGGAGAGCAACCAGCAGGAACAGCGTGTTTGTAGAGCTTCAGAGTAGAAGAGATTGAGCACTTAACACATCTTGCCAAAACCTTCCCTGGACTAATTCTTCCTTGAGCTAGAGCATAGCTTTCAGGAAAAAAAAATCTGAACTTTCAGAACTTCCAGTGGCAGAAGAGCTGACAAAATGTCAAAAACGGAACAAATGCCTTCCCCAGGAAAACAGCATTTGCTTTGTTGTTTCTAGTCTGGTTTCTCTTGTTTCAACTGCCAAGTGATGGGACTTGAGATACAAAACTCCATGTTTTATGTGCTGGACAGACATTAAAAAAACCATCTGTACTTCAGATGAGTACTAATGTAGTACTGTTAAGGTTCAACTTAACCTTTTTTATTGGGTAGGCTGACCCCCATCTTTCAGTTGAAAGCGTTTTTTTCAATTCTGTAGTCTGTTCTCATGGCACCATTGCCAAAGCATCAGTATCTTTCTTGAAGCACATACACCAGGACTGGGCACAGTGCTTCAGCAGCAAAGCATGCAGCCACGTGAGAGGCAGTGATTTTTCTTTCCCTTTTTGACTGTGTGGCTTTTATGCCACAAAGAATCATTTTAACCCTTTTGGCAGTATTGCAAGCCTGAGATGCAGTTGATTATCCATCACCCTGTGTGAAAGTCCTTAATTTCCCATTTGGAAAGTATGGCATGGTTCTTGGTTTGTTGGGATGTAATCTTGGGTTTGCACTATGTAAATTTAATGTATTTGTAGTTCACTGAGGAGCTTGAATTGCTTTGCATCTTCACTCTGTCCTCTTTGTTCTTATCCTCTCATCCCATCTTTCTGTAGTTGATGATCTTCAGGAGCAAGGAGTTGGTTTTTTCCACTCATTGATGAAATAAACAGTTTAGGGCTGAGATCTGTTTCCTGAGAGACCTGTAGGAGAACATCTTTCTGGTGATTTCCTATTCACAATTCCCAGTTAGAGATCTGTTGGCTGATTATTTTTTAATCCATTTAATGTGTACCATGTTAATTTTGTTTTAGTCAATTAAATAAGCAGTACCAAATCAAGTGCTTTATAGAAGACCAAGTATATCAATGCTATTAAATCGACATTCTTATAAATTTATAAGTCAAACTTGTAATCTCATCAAGCAGGATGTCAGTTTAGTTTGACAGAATCTATTTTCCATAGACCTAATTTGATTGACATTGATTTAATTACCCCTCTCTAATTCTTTATTATTAGAGTCCAGTATCGAATATTCTGTAATTTTGCCTTGCTCAGCATTAGACTGATGGACCTGTAATTACTTGGGTCATCCAGTCCTCCCTTTCTGAATTTCAGTGCAAAATTGCCTTTTCTCTAGGCTCCTGGAATTTCAGTGCTGTAAGAATTAGTGAAAATCACAAGAGAGCCATTTGTCCCTTTTTTGAAGTCTATTCTGTGCAAGTAATCCAGATAATTTCATTTAAACATGTATAATTTTAGGAGGTCCTGTGTAACATCCGCCTGGGTTGCTAGTTAGTACTTCATATAGCTTCTTCAGGTGTACATAACACATTTTCTCTGTACTGTTACTATCTGCTGGTGAGTCAGCACGAGCGTTAAGGGATCTTTTTCCGTAATCTAAGATGACTTTTGGTTTTCTGACCTTTACTAGGTTTTGAGTAGTAACCTTGACAGAGGTTTTTTCTGGGTTTTTTCATTTGTTTCCTATGATTTTTCTGTTCTAACTTACATTGGTTTCTATCTGTTTTCCCTTTATCTCTTAATTTAAATATGGAATTTGCCTAAGCAGACTGGTTTGCAAAGGAAGTAAAGGCAGGTACAGGTCTTTAACTATCACTGCCTTTTTAGTAGCTGCAGGTTTTTGGGTGTATGGACAAATGTTATAAACAGGGTATATTGATTTTTCCATATTCTTTCTCATGGTTTGTTTTAATCTTGGTGATTTTTCAGCTCTGAAATGGAGTCTTCTAAAACATGAAATACATACATTACCAGCTTGGGCTTGGCTTTGCATGTGTTTGGTTTTTTTTTTTTTTGGAGACTGTCAAGTCCTTGATCATTTTTAACCCTGTTATCGCTCACTTTTAGACCTATTCTTTACCAGATTGTAGCAGGTCTGCTATGCATTTTCTGCAAGCTAGTTAAAACATTCAGAAAGAGCAATGTTAATAGTGATATAACAAGGTGTTGTTTTAGGATCATCTAGAAATATCTCTTGCCTGCCCTACTGAATCGCAGCATGCAATGAACTATTGGATTCCAAATCACAGAAAATATTTACTATTTACAGTGCTGTTCCTGGGAAGTGTAGCATGGGAATGAACTTCAGTGTCTGTGTGGGTTCCCACTGAGAGGTCCAGCTGCTTGCTTCGTGCTGCCAGATTGTGTCCAAAGAAATGTTACCCTTTTTGAGCACGTGCAATAAGAGTACCTGATGGAAAAAAAAGAAAAACCTGAAAGTTCATACTGCTTCACTGTATTCTGGAACAAATCCTTCTCTTCTTTCTCTACCAGTAACAATTCTTAGTTTTTTCATATCTGGAGTCTGTTTTGTCTGACATAAGGTGTATCGCTCTTGAGAGCAATTTGAAAATAATATTTTTAGCTGGCTATATAATTTTTTTGTTTCTTGGCTGTAAATGTTTAGCACACTAAAACTTCATGATGTCTGCCAGCAGTCATAAAGCTTTTCACAAATTACTTTTTTCTGGGTTTATTTTGTTTTCAGTTTTTTGAGATCGGGGTGGTGGTGGGGTGTCTGTTTTGATTAAATGATGGTGTTTAGGGGAGATGCTTGAAAATACAAAATAAACCAAACAAAGTATACCCCTGAAGTGGCAAGCTCTTAAAGATTTTCTTCCTTCAGCTTCACTGGTACAAAGTGAAGTGTATGGCAGAAAGCAGCGACAGGAATTAGCTAATTGAAAGAACTGCACCAAGATTTCAGTAAGCTGCAAAGGGTGTGGGATTTTAGGAGTTTTTTTAAAGTAAGAGGGTTTTTTTTGAATTAACAAAGTCAGTGCTCAGAATGCTGAGTAGACCCACCCTAACTTTTTTGTGAGAATATATTCCAGCCAATATAGCAATTAAATATACTTGCTATGAAATCACAACCAATAGCTTATGGGTAACAGGCCTTAAATTCTGTTACATGTTTTGTATATTTCATGATGTTCAGGAGTATGTACTAACAAAAGGAAATCATGTTTCCATGTACCTATTATTCTAAGCAAAATTCTATGATAATGTAATTGTTTTATTTAAGCTGGTTTCTGTAGGCATGCATGCAGACAGCTTTGTTCTTGTTGGTACTCCTTATCCTTCACCTTGGAAAAAAATACTTGTTTCCAGTTGATAGTGAGAATCAGAGATGATGATACCTAAATAACTTGAATAATGTTACTGGAGAACTCCAAGGAAAGGAATGAATGGTCTATGAAATGTTTGTATCATTTTTTTTCTTGTATTGCCATTATTTCCCTTCCCCATAGCTTGTGTTCTCTATGGGTTTGTTATCTGTGGTCTCTTCCTTGCAGAAGTATTTACAGAAGTGAGAATGTTCCTATGAGAGATTATTAAAAAGCATTGTATGTATTGTAGAGGTTGGTCAGTCCATGTGCCTCGAGAATAACAGTGGCTGGACATGGAAGCCCGTGTTCAGACAGACTGACATAAATCCTAGGGCCTTGTGTCAGCTACTCCTGTTATCTGTGTACCGTTGAAGGTTGATAGATGGTTAATGAAAAGAGTAGGGACATGTACTCAGGTTATTCAAGCCCTGATCCTTGTGTGTCTCTTCCTCAAAAAAGAGGTTCGTTTCCTAGAGAATGGCTTCCTCCTGCCTAGGACTGTTTAGCATTAAATGTATTAATGATATGATGTGTTCAGAGGCACGGGGATTGGGGCTGTATAAAATATCTCAGGTAGACAAGAGGAGGAAGGCATGGAAAGTATCTTCACAGTATTTCTGCTCCAGGCTTCTTGCTCAGTCAGACTTCAGCTTGCTCTTGGTTAATGTCGTGTAACTTGGGTAAGAATATTTTTGTTGAGATTAATTCAGCTTTCCAGGAGGACTGGGTATGTTTTTATACTTTTTTTTTCTGAAGTTTAAATTGATCGGATGCAATTGCTCCCTGGATATCCTATAGTTAAAACAGCCATTTCTTATCCTTAAGCCTGTATGTGGGCATTTTAGGCATGAACTGCAGTGTTTCCATGGATTTTTAAGGTCTTCTATAGCATAGTTGGCAGCTTCTAGTGCTTTGATCTGGTTTCGTAAGACAGAAGTGCTCCCTGTATGTGTTACAGCAAATGCTGTATTTTTGGTGGTGTCTGACTTTGAGAAACACATAGATGCTTTTTTGTAGTCCATGAGACAAAGAAACAAAGCTTTGTGCTTGGGAGGCAGGATCCGTGCCTCCAGGGTACATCAAGGCACTTGGTGTGCAGCTGCTTTCCCAACCTCCGCTTTCTCCTGGCGAGCCGGAGCTGGGTTGCTGTTTGCTGCTCCCGTGGGTAGAATTCTTCCAGAAGTGCTGTCCTTCTTGGGAGGGATTTTCACATGTTTCCTTTCCCACTGCCTGTGATCAGGAGCGCTTAGATCCCCTCCACATCAGTGCCCAGAGGCAGGTCATCTTTTGGCTTGCTGTTCTCCAGATACACTGAAGGATGTATGAGAAGGAGTGTGGCTGAAATGCAGGACTGCATGCCTGCCTGCTTCGGCTAGCTTATTGAAATTTGATTATCTGTGTATGTTTTTAAGTGGATGTGCCTTAAAAAAAAAAAAAAAAAATTGCTGTGTGTTCCAAATGTGCAAAGTAACTTCAGTAGGAGGCTCGAGGAGGAAGGGATCTGGAAGCGGCTGTCTGTCACGTTGCATTAATAGAATTAATGCTGCAAATCTGGTACTTGGGAATCAGGAAGAGGTACTGCTCTGGTACGGGTTCTCACAGCCCGTCACAGACCCACAGCTCTGTCCCTGTGCGGTGTGAATGAGTATCTGTAGTGCTAACAGCACGGCCTCTCCAGCTCTGTGTTACTTTCCCAGCTATTAACCAGGTCGCATCTTTCTACTGCAAATGCAAACACAGATCTTGCTAGTAGAACAGAAGCTGTTGAAATTATTTTGGCTGCTAAAGTGGGCTTGTGCCATCCTGTGTGCAGCAGCAGTTGTTGTACTGTTTTGGTTTTGATGTCATGTCTAATACACAGAGGAAAGCTTTAACATGGTGTGTTATCCTACTCCAATTTGATCTGTCCTTTTTCTTCGTATTTACTGGCTGCTCACTGAGCAATAAAATGAGATGTAAAGGTGGTTGTCTGTTTCTCATTCAGCTGCTTCAAGGTTAATGTTAAAACACTGCTTCCTAATTTTTGCATTTTAAACACAAATTTATTTATAAACAGTAGCAAAACTATGTATGGGTTTTATCATTCTTAAGGGGTGGCCTTGTTCCTGCTCTGGCAGGTCAGCCAGTTACATTTATTAGGAACTCAGCACAAAACTATTACACAATTCTGGTGCTGTCAAGCCTCATACGTGCTTTTCAGTAAACTTGTGGGGAAGGCAGGGTGGGGGGTGTCATCTTTTTGGTTTTGAACTAGGATCTTCAGAGCAGCAATTTAAAACTTCTATGTTGCCTTCCACTGTATTAAGGAGATAATGAAGTGGTGAAGAACGGCATAGAAACCATAGGGAAAAGCAGGGATGAAATGAATGGTGTAAGAAAATTATAATCTCACTCTTGGAAGTTGTTTCTGTGCTTAAAAAAATACTGAGTCCTTTTTTCTTTGTTTCTTGTGTTTCAACAGGGCAAAGTTTAGGGTATGGATTTGTTAACTATATTGATCCAAAGGATGCAGAGAAAGCCATTAACACTTTAAATGGACTCAGACTCCAGACCAAAACCATAAAGGTAAGACAATATAAACCACCTTTTGTTCAGTTCAGGAAGTGGAGGAAGTAGTTGAAACGGTTTCTGGCAATTTCATCACTACTTTAATCTCCATTGTAAGGGGCACTCAGCTAACAAGCTCCTCCTTGGAATAATGGGAGGACACGCAGAAGATGAAATCTTTCTTCTCTGAAATTGCTGCTGTTGTTATGGAAGCTCCTTAAAGTATTGCAGTGAGGCTTAAATGTAGAATAAAACAGCTGTAGTGATACAGTTATCCGTAAACAAAGGCGAAATATGTGATGGTGTATTCATAAATTACACATTTTCTTGTGCTTTAATGGGAAATACCTTGACATGGAGCTCTTTTAGTGACACTCACGTCATTATCAGTTGTTGAAGGTATATTTCTCTCAAGTTAGAATATGTCATTCTCAAAAAAAAAAAAACCACCCACAACATTCTTTCTCAATTTCCCCATCCTTAGTTTGATTTATTCTTTTAAAAGCTGGAGGGATTAGAGATCCCACTGAAGTCTCTCATTTCATTGTTGTAATAGACCATTAGTTATTCAACGACCTTCTTTAGTGGTCTCACAAGAAAAGCAAGTTTCTAAACTGTCACATTTTTTGCTGCATGGCTGATAAAGCTTTTTTGGAAACAGCTTACAGAAGACTTCCACATCTTGAATTCTGACAAATACAGCTTAAGGAAAGTGAATCAAAAAAATTGAAGGGGAACAAACAGCAGATCTGATTCAAATTATCTGAAACTGCTCTGATCATATTTAAATGCTGGCTTTTGATTTGTACCATTTCCTTAATTTTTCTTCTGTACTTAATTTGTATTTCAAAGCCAAAAATGTTAGAGAGTATAAAAATAGAATTTTACTTTTGAAAATATTGGTACAAACAATGTCCGTGACTTCGTATCTTGCAAAAAAGGTACCGTATGGTCAATACTTCAGTTGTACTTACCCTTTCTCACTAAACGTTTTGGCCTGGGCACAGTAGTATTCCCTAAAGCAAAAATATCTGTTGGATTCCTGTGCACCTTTAAGGATTGTTTCAAGCAAGTTTTTCCCTGGTCTGTCTGATTAGTGAAGAGCAGAAGTCCTGAGCTGAGGGTTATGAAAGTTGTGGAGTAGCTGCGTGGATTACATAGAGGAAACCTACTTCCAAACCTCCCTTAGACCAGCCAGGCTCCATCCCATACATATGTATGTGGGCCACATATCAAAACGCTCACAGCATGGTTTTGTGGAGTTAAATGGAAAAACTTACAGGAGTACGTAAGGCAAAGCAGCAAAATCTACCGTCTTATCTACTGCTGCAGGTGGAAATATGTGCTCGGACTCAGCAGTTTCTGCTTACAGTGAAAAGTTGAGCAGCAAGTTGCTCTCCAAATTGCTTTTAAAGGCACATTATCAGGAAAAATATAATATTTTGAAAGTACTAACCTATTTTCTAAACACTTTATTAAAAAACTCAGTAGAACTTGAAAAATCTAAATCAGTTTTTAATGCAGCACTTTTGTATTTTGAACAGTATTCAGCATTAGCAAAGGTGCCACATTTCTTGTCTTAAGTACCTATGTTGCTTTGCCTCTGTTTTTTTGAGCCAGAGCAATGCTATTGTATTCATAATATTCCAAGGTTACAGGAAACATATAAGCTACAAAAAGGGCTCCAAAAACTCCAACCCACCCCAGTTATTATTTTTTTCTCACATGCAAAATTAAACCATTATGCCTTCCTTTATCATGTATAGTAAGATTTTTTTTTCTTATCCAGGAACTTCCCATGCTAAAACATCTTTATGGAACGTTTTTTCTTTATATTTTTTCAATTCAGTATAAATTTTACAAATACAAGCAGTTTATTAGGCTTGGGTTTTGCATGCTTATTAATAGCTAGTAGACTTTTATAGAATACATGACATTTTGTTGGGCTCTTGAAAGCTGTTAAAATTTAATAATAAGCAAAGAGATTGACCTAACCTACATGCACAGGAGCTGCATAATTTTTTTCAGTGATTGGGAAGATGTGTAGGCTTTGTTTTTAAATAAAATTGTTTTCAAGTGTTTATGCAGTTGCCTAAAACCAACCAAAGGGAGCCTTCTAGTCAAATAGCCAAGCTTTGGACACATGGACATCTAATTGGCAGTTTCCAACCCAATTTTTTAATTGCAGAATAGCATGCGATTACCTCACCTTTACCCCCTTGGGGTTTTTTTTTGTATTTTTAATTATGTTTTGTTCTTAGAAATCTTAAATTAGGTCTGCTTCCCTGGTACTGTGTGATGGGGGTGGAGGTTTCCCAGTGTTCATGCTAGCCGAGTGGTGAATCACATGTTTTTACCATTTACGGCAGTGCCCGTGTCACCGGAGATGTCCCTCATTTCCAAATGGTTGCAAAGTGGTGAGAAACCATACTCAGTGCCGCTGAAGTTTCCTAGCTTGCCTATTGCCCCCACACGCCCCTTTCTGTGATTCATTATGAGGTTGAAGTATTTTCATTCGTGGAATTACTATATTTAATTATCGGAGCCGGTTACTTCAGTCTAGCTAGATGCCCTTTACAGTTATTAAAAATGCACTTTGAGTGCATTAAAAAAGCCTGTCTCAAAAGAACGTATAGAAAGGGATTTGGTGGCATACAGTTTCGTAGGCTAAAAAATATTTAATTAAATACTAGAATAACACTGAGCTGGAAAAGTACTGAGCATTACTTTATTCTGTTTTCTTTGTGTGGTTGGTTTTTATGCCCCAGAATGAATGTGTAATGTCCTGTTGATGGATAGCCTGAACCTTGGCCTCTGCCCATGTACGCTGGGTAGCTGCAGCCCTGCAGGTAGAATTTCTCTGGCTACCTTTTATTTGGAAGCTGTTTTGATGGAAAGTTGAAAATGAATAATCTGTGAAAAGCCCTTTTACAGGGGCACATTACTTCTGCTTTCCAAGGTCACCTTGGTCCTGCTGGCTGTGTCCATCTCCCTGCTCAAACAGTTGTGGGCTCTGCTGTTCCTTGCACCTAGACTGAATGTGAGCTGGCTCGGGGGGGGGGGTCATATTTGCACTCAATTCTTTGACCCCACAAGGCTTAATTCCTGTTTACAAAAAATAGATATTTTCTGAATGTGTTCCCAAATCCTGTTCTTTTCACTTCTGTAACATTTTTGTGGAGGCTTAATGTTCTCCCTCTCTTCTGATGCCTTGCAAAACAGCCATGCAGTCACAGGAGGAACTGATTTTATAGCAGGATCAGCAAAACAGCTAGGCACAGTCTGCTCTCAGATGTGCGGACTAAAATAACTACAGAAATGTTCTTTTTATTATTTCATTGTTACAATAAATAATCCCTTTTCACTGTAGCAGCTAAAATATTTATGTGCATTTTATTTAAGTCAATGATGTCCTTTCAAGTCAAAGTCGAGAGGTGACTATTTACAGAATATCTGTTTGGGGAAAGCATTGAAGGAAGTGTTATGCATTTGGTAATAGGTTATACCTGTTATGTTCTTCCTCAGCTGATCATAGTGCATATTTTATTTACACCATTTTGTAGCATCATCATCGTCTTGTGAGGGAGAAGGGCTTCACTTTATTTTTACAGCTAAAGCTTGACATAATTCTACAAAACAGCTTAGAATGAAGGAAGATACAGTGTGTGTTGAAATAAATATATATTCCAGAAATTGAATCTGTTTTTAGAAATTAAATTTGCCCATCCATAAAAGCATATGAAAGGTCACTGCTGCTGTTGAAGATTGCCTGGCAATTCGGTTGCATCAAATATCAGAAAGAAAATAAGATGTGTGATGCATGGGGTACAGATTGTTTAAACTGAGCTGCTTTGCCCTGAAAAAGACAGCATCTGAAAGGATGCGAAGAAAGTGTTTTACAATTTACATGGGGATTCAGATGACCTGGCTTCGTGTTAGGGGATGCTGGAACAGAGTTTTGAAAGGAAGTTTGAAATCTAAAGAGCCAATGACCCCCAAAGTGTGGTCTTGTGTCCTCCTCTCCTTCCTTGTCTCTGTTGCCTGACAAGTAGGTTGGTTTCTTTCTTCCCAGGCAGGTAGCATGCTGTGACACTGCTGGAGCAAAGGGAGAAGTCTGCAGTGAGGGGAGAAGGGATCTGGGCTTTCTGAGCCCTTGATGCCTTCCAGTTTTTAAATTCATCAAATCTATCAGATGATAAAATACCAAATAGATAGGATCATTCCTCTGTGGTCGGAGGCTTTCTCTAATTATTTTGATTTTCAGTTAAATGAATAAGTAACATGGAATATAGCTGCTGTTATTTTGACACTTCCTATTGTTACTTCAAAATGTTTATTTCTGCTTTACTCTCCTGTTTTTACTGGATGGTCCTAGTTTAAAATAGAGTGAATAGGGCTGTGGGAGAAAGTACTCCTATGTTTTCTGGAAACAAAGTCATAACATTACTGCTCAAAGATCTTGCTATTTATCTTGGTTTCTCTGGCATTTCAAAAAATGCCAGATATTTCTACAAAGTTCAGGCTCTAAATCTGTCCATGTTAATTCTTGTAATTGTCTGCAAAACTACAAACCATGCTGTCACTGTAGGGTAACCAAATAACAGCAACCTCAGACTTCTCTGTCCTACAAAGTCATTTGTCAAAAAGATTGCCTTCGAGTTGTGCTCAGCGGGTGAAGGAGGCACAGGAAGCACAAGGCAGGGGAGGAGGAAGGCTGCGGCAGTGAGCGATGGGGAAGAGAGCTGCATCCTCTGCAGCCTGTCCCAAACTGCTTGGGAGGTATGGGGGGGACTTAAACCCAACAATCTGAGTTGCAGCCAGAAAGTGCTGGCTTGCTGATAGTTATGGTAGCAGGGCTCTGGTGTTGAGTGCCCTTGGTGCAATACTCGGCTGAAAACCCTGCGTTTTCCACTCATGTTCTCCCTTAGCTGCCCCGGAGGCTACCTGCCACGAAGCTGGATGGCCACTGCCTGCAGCTGCTTCTCCCAGTGAAGAAATGGGATGTTGTGCATGGGAGG